CTTTAAAATTGCCCGATAAAAAACTGATAGATCTTTACGAACAGGTAAAGACAAAACAAATTTTTATGTTACACTACTTATTTTAATATGTTACTCAAAGTTTAATATTTTTAGTCAAAGTATTTGTAATCACATACCTTTTTGTTAATTAAGGTTGTTTTAGAATTGATAGAACTTCGTGAGCTTGGAGCAGCAAGATCTTTATTGCGACAAACTGATCCAATGATTGTTTTGAAACAGCAAGAAGCTGAAAGATATATTCATTTGGAAAATTTATTGGCAAGGTCTTATTTTGATCCTCGTGAAGCTTATCCTGATGGTTCGAGTAAAGAAAAAAGAAGAGCAGCTATAGCTCAAGCTCTTGCTGGAGAGGTATCAGTTGTACCATCATCTAGGCTGTTGGCACTTCTTGGACAAGCATTGAAATGGCAACAACATCAAGGGCTATTACCTCCAGGTTTTACAATTTTCTCATAGCTCCTTCTGAAATTTTAAAAAAATAATTATTTATTTTTAAATTTTTTTTACTACTTTTTAGGTACAACTATCGATTTGTTTAGGGGAAAGGCTGCCATGAGAGATCAAGAAGATGAAAAATTCCCTACCCAATTATCAAAACAAATAAAATTCGGACAAAAATCTCATGTAGAATGTGCTAAATTTTCTCCAGATGGACAATATTTAATTACCGGGAGTTTTGATGGGTTTATCGAAGTTTGGAATTTCACAACTGGTAAAATTAGAAAAGATTTAAAATATCAAGCTCAGGTAGTTAATTAAATCATTTATTTAAACTTAAATTTTTACCGTTACACTTAATACAAATTTGACATTAAAAATAAATTTTCCAGGATAATTTTATGATGATGGAAGAAGCGGTTTTATGCATGTCTTTCAGTAGAGATTCTGAAATGTTAGCAACAGGTTCGCAAGAAGGAAAAATCAAAGTTTGGAGAATTCAAACTGGACAGTGTTTAAGAAAATTTGAAAAAGCACACACCAAAGGAATTACATGTTTACAATTTTCTAGAGACAATAGTCAAATTTTAAGTGCAAGTTTTGATACAACAATCAGAATACATGGCTTAAAATCTGGGAAAACATTAAAAGAATTTCGAGGGCATGCATCGTTTGTAAACGAAGTTGTTTTCACTCCCGATGGACATTATTTATTAAGTGCTTCATCTGATGGTACCGTCAAATACTGGAGCATAAAATCAACAGAATGTACAAACACATTTAAATCCCTCGGATCTGGAGATATTACAGTCAACACTATAATTCCACTACCTAAAAATCCTGAACATTTTGTAGTTTGCAGTCGTTCAAATACTGTTGTGATCATGAATATGCAAGGACAGGTACGATAAAATTTTTTATTTTATAATTCAATTAATAACTTTCATTCTTTAATTTCCAATTATTATTCGATAGATTGTTCGTTCGTTTTCAAGTGGAAAAAGAGAAGGTGGAGATTTTGTGTGTGCTACAATATCACCCAGAGGAGATTGGATTTATTGCGTTGGTGAAGATTTAGTCTTATATTGTTTTTCAACAGGTTCTGGAAAATTGGAAAGGACGTTAAATGTAAATTTTTTTTGTCAAAAAGTAGAATTTTCCCCATTTTCACAATGGAAAATCATCCTAAATTTTTTTTTCAGGTACACGAAAAAGCAGTTATAGGTTTAGCTCATCATCCTCATCAAAATTTATTATGTACATACAGTGAAGATGGACTTTTAAGATTATGGAAACCTTAAATCATTCATTTTTTTTTTTTTATAGAGACTACAACATTTATTATTCATTTGTAACTTGTGTATAAATATTCTTACAAACTGTATAAATTTTTAAAATTCGTGTCGTTTCATTGATATTGCTGAAAATTCATTCAGCAAAAAAAAAAAAGAATTTTAATTTAAAAACTTTACATACGAAAAAATAATCGGATAAATTTTTTTTTTTTTTTTTTTTTATAGATAATAAAACAAATTTAAATAATTATAACGGAAATAAATACTTTTATTTAAAGTCCAGGTGAATAATTATAACTGTTATTTTATCAGTGAGTAACATTGTAGTTTTATTTTTATTCAGCGAAATTACAAAAAAAAAAAAAAAAATGGGGGTCGAACGATAAGGGACTGCTTATACCATATGTTATCTACTATCGGTGGTGATTTTAAAAGTTCAATGAATTTTTTTTTTTTTTAATTTAACGCTTAAATTTAAACTTGACTGAAAAAATTATTTGCCCCTGGTACCAACCAATTAGTCAATTTTTTTTTTTTTTTTTTTTCCCCCCTTTTCTATTTTGACCGGTATTGATAAAAAGTCAATAAAATTGTATATAAGTAAATGTCAGTGTCGCATAAGGTCATTCTTTTGACAATCCGCAAACGATTGATTATATTTTATTTATTTAAAAAAATTAACCCACCGGTAAGTTGGTAAAAAAAAAAAAATTTTGAAAATTTTCCTTTTTTTTCTGAGTAAGGGAAAAAATTCTTTTTACATAAACTTATACTGACTGAACAGTAATTTGTGAATTTTTAATAAATTTTTATTTTCAGAAAAAAAAAAATGGAAACTATTAAGTTTTCTATTATTTTTTTTATTCTAACATTTTTAATAATTAATAATTTTACTAACGGAGCACTTACGACAAATTCTCGTTCATCTAATTCATGGGAAAATAATGTGTTGCAAGATGATGAAGATGTTGGAGAAGAAGATGAGGATCAAGATCTTACTCGAGATCATAAAGATGGTATAATTGACTTCGGTGAAGAACTCAGTGATTTACCATTAGGAATTCCCGAAGAAGTAATTTGAAAATTTTTTGTTAAACTTATTTAAATTTTAGAAAAATATTTATTTATTATTATTTTTTAGGAAAAGAAAGTACCAGGAGAACCTTTAACCCCAGAAGATTTTAAAAAGGCTAGAGGAATGGGTAAGGACCTAATTATTTTTGAAATTAGTTATGATATAATTTAAAATCGTGGTAAAAATATATTTTTTTGATTACAGAACATTCTGGACCGGTTATGGATGAAAATACACCTGATCCTATTCAAGCAGCAGGTTTGTTTGAGGGTGACATTGTTAATGTAAATTCATCGTATGGCCCAGCCAATGTAAGTTCTTAACGACTTAATGACTTTTTTAACTTGACTAATTATTAACGGCTTTAAAATATCATTTTAGGGTCGTAATGCCATCAGAGACATGAGTTTAAGATGGCCGGGAGGTGTCATACCTTATGTAATTACCGCTGAATTCGGTATGATATAATTATTAACGTTTATTATATAAAAGTAAGGCAAAAAATAATTGAAAGACATTTTAAATTTGTAGATGAACGAGAAAGAGCAGTGATTGCAGCAGCTTTTGACGACTACCAAACAAAAACTTGCATTCGATTCGTACCACGAACTACACAAAGTGATTACATTTACCTTCTCAAGGGATCTGGGTAATTCGTCTAAGACATTTAAATTATTATTTATTTTTAAAACTGTGTCCTAAATAGAAAATTTTGGAATGCAGATGCAGCAGTTTAGTGGGTAGAAACGGACAAAAACAACAAGTTTCATTGGGGCCAGGGTGTGTTTACAAAGGCGTAATTATTCACGAATTGATGCACGCTTGTGGTTTTTGGCACGAACAAAGTAGACCAGACAGAGATAATTACGTGTCTGTTTTATGGGACAACATCATACCTGGAATGGAATTTAATTTTAACAAATACGATTGGAATACGGTACAAGGGCTTGGTGTCTCTTACGATACCGGTAATATATTGTGTCATAATTAACGGCGTAATTTTTTAAATATTGATTTTAAAATTTACGGTTTTTATTATCAGGTTCTGTCATGCATTATACTAGAAACTCATTTTCTAAAGATGGACGATCTCCTACAATCGTTCCCTTAAGCGGAGACGGAGACTTTTTGGGACAGAGAATCGGTTTTAGCGAAAAAGATTTAATAAAACTTAACAAATTATACGAATGTTCTGGCGGTAGCGGAAATGAAATATCAGAAATAAAACCAACAGTACCAACAAGCGATTGTGAAGACAATCATGAATTGTGTGGCTTCTGGAGTAAACGGAATGAATGTTCCAAAAATCCAAACTGGATGTTGGTCAACTGCAAAAAGTCTTGCAACCAATGCTGTACGTTTACCGAATGCCTACGTTTGCTAATAAAAACCAGCAACTAATGAAAATTATTAATTATTTTTTGAATTTTTCCAGCTAAAAAATGTGAAAACTATAACAAGGAATGCGAAATGTGGGCTAGCATTGGTGAATGCACAAATAATCCATCTTACATGACTATTTACTGTGCCAGATCTTGCAACACTTGTGATATGGCTGGAAATCAGACTCTTATTACATCTGGGTCTTGTGTGGATAACAATGAATACTGTCCATCTTGGGCTGCTGACAATCAATGTGCTGTCAATCCTAATTACATGCTTTTCAACTGCCGACAATCTTGCAGACAGTGTTAAAAAAAAAAATTTTGACCTTTTTAAAATTATATCCCACCTATTTAATTTTTGTAATTTTATAAATTTTTCATACTTTTAATAAATTTATTTATTTTATTAAGTTTAAACAAGGCATTTTATCTTTTTATATAAAACAAATCTATCAATCTAGGAGCATTTATTATATAAATCCTAATTAAGTAATTATTTTAATAATGTCAACTAAAAGTAAAATTTTAAAATAGAAAAAAAAGACAGAAAAATAAAGAGCAAAAAATTTATTGTAACCAACCCACGCTAATTAAAGTCTTATCGGTCATTTAATAAATTGATTTTAACAGAATAATGGAGTTAAGTTCAATCAAAATAATATCAAAATAGATAAATGACAATTACTTAGGTCAAATAATAAATTTTACGACTTACTCTTATTTACTTGCTGTAATTCAACTCGTACATTTTTCGTAATTTAAAATGAAAAATATATCATTAAAATTATTATTAAAAAAACTTATTTTTCATTAAATAATTACATTAAGACACAAAGTTTTGTTAATAACTTCCGTCCGTATTCAAAAATAGACAAAAAAAACGTTATTTAATTGAAATTGACTAAAAATCCATAGAGTAAAAAAATTGCGTTTTTCAAAGAAGGCAGAATGAGATAAAAAAAATGCAATTAAAAGCAAAATTCTGGGGCCTTATTTTAAACGTGAAAAATTAATTTTTAATCTCACCGATAGGGAAAACAAATAACGTAGAAACCAAAAAAAAAAAAAAAGAATATTGAAGATTACGAAAGCGAAGCATGCGCAGAACTGATCTTATTTAAATAATAACCCGCACAACAATCTAGAAAACAATTTAAACGCGAGTGAAGAGGCCCCAGATAATTAATAAACGTTTCAAATAATAAGTATTAATTTTTTTTTTTTTTTTTTTTTAGTGTGTAACGATATTTTTTTTATTCGAAACATGTCGATAATTTAATAATAATATTATTAAATCGTTCGTGTGTGAAATTTAAAAAATAACAAAAAACATAATTTCAAATCGCAAATATTCGATTAAAGATTTTTCGTTATCTTTTTAAACTTTCGTTCGAGAACGAATTCAAAATTGTCAACGGTTTTTTTTTTTTGTTTAAAGTAAAGTGAGTTATCAAATCGACTTTTTTTTCTTATTGTAACGTTTTAAAACTACTTTTTTTTTTTTTTTCAAAAAAATATCTTTTTAACCTACGTTCCAATATAAATTAATTATTTTAACGATTAAATAATCTTGCAATTAATTAATTAATACCAATAATTTTTATCTTTATATATATCTCGTGACATAATTAATGTTCGAAATACGTAATCATTTTTAATTAAGTAAAAAAACCGTTAAAAATTAATTTTATTATCGAAAACCGATGAATTAATATAATTTATTTATATATAACGTACGCGAGAAAATTTTTCCGTCCTATTATACGTTTTAGTGTAAACAATTTATTATTATTATTATTATTATTATTATTATTTTCACATTTCCCCTCTCCCGCGTTTTTTCCGCGTTTGAGGTCATCCATTTAATTTTTGTATAATTTATCCATGTTTAAAGAAGAAGACCTTGTAATGTTTATGCATCATTTATTTCCAAATTAACTTTCGTGATAACTACAAACTTTTTTATTAGCTTTCAAATTATTTAAAAAATTAAAAATTAAAACAATTATTATTATTATTATGGTTTAAACTAATTTTTCACGTCGTCAAAGAAAATAAAAAGGAAAAAAAAATTCGAGTCGCAAAGGAATCCTTTTTGTGAATACGTGAAAAGCGCAGAATCCGATCGGAAAAAAGGCTAAAAAAAAAAGGCTTTCGTGCGTTATTCTATTTTCGGCTAAATAGATTTTTCCAACAAAAAGAACGCAATAGTAGTAATAATAATAATAATAATTTAATTGTATTTTTTGTCTTTTATTGATTTAAGTTTTTTTTTTTTGTGTGTAAAATGTAAATAAAGGAAGTTTTATCTTTTTTTTTTTTTTTTTTTTTTTCGTGTCGTATTTAAAATACAATAAGGAAAAAATTTTTATTTTATCAGTGTGTAAATACGCAAGTGCAAATTTTCTATAAAGAAAATGACGGAAGTTTCTACAATGCCGACAAGGGCAACAACGGATTCTAATAATGGCCCCCTTCAATTTCACAATGAAGAATCAAATGGTTTGGCATCATCACCAGGTAAATAAAAATATTTCAAAATATATATATATATTTTTTTTTTAAATTTGCGAAAAAAAAATTAACATTTTTCTGGCTTGTATTCAAATCCAATTTTTTCTTTTTTATGTTGACATTAAAATTATATTTTTGTCGTTTCGAACGTTTGCCATTGTTAATAATGTAATGAAAAATTTATTTTAAATTTAAATTCAAAATTTTTTTTTTAAATAATTTATATTTTAATTCGGTTAATCATCCAAATAATCTCATAGCTTATGAATTATTCAAAGAATTACGTAAACCAAAAAACAAAAAAAAAACGCATTAAAATTAAACAATTTTCAATTTTATTCATTACTCTAAAACCCCACCCGAGAATGGTAATAATAATAATAATATACATAACGACACAAACCGTTCCTTAATTTAAAGGCAGAGACATAAAAATGGGCTGAATTTTTTTTTTATTAAAGGACGTGAATGTAATAATAATAATAATAATAATAATAAATACGTAAAATTTTATAAGGGGAAAAGAATTATATTTTCCAACAGGAATTTTTAATCAAGAGACCCAAATTCAAATTCACGCATATTCGTCATTATTTTATTTAAATTATGTGTACCTTTTATTTTTTATACCTGCAAAAAGCCTTAAATCGAATCTATAATAATAATAATAATAATAATAATAATAATAATAATAATAATCTTCGGAAAATATTATAAATAGCACCACCGATATTCGAGTATTTGTCCCTAAGGAATCGGGTAGAGACCTGGGATAAATGCTTAACAACCCCGACAAATAAGAGCCTTGTCGTGTTTAAGAGTGACCATAATAATAATAATAATACGGTTTATTTAATAAGAAAATAATTTTTTTCTTTATAATTGTTTTGATAAAAACGATAGTTTATCATTTTCTTTTCGATAAGAAAAATTTTTAATTATTTATTTCGTATTCTTTTAAAAGAGGTCGTCACCCATATTTTCTGAAGTTGTTTTTTTTTTTTTTTTTTTTTTTACATAACCGTAACAAATATTATTATTATTGAAATGCTTCGATATATATTTTTTTTAACGGAAAATAAAATTTTCCAACGGTAATAAATTGTCAAGTTAATATATGTTCTTTTGTATTTTTTTTTTTGGAAGAGGGGAGAAGGAAAAATTTAACAAGTTAAATGATTGCAAAACGTTTTAAAAAAATTTTTTTTTTTTAAAATATTATTTAACATCACAAACACGTATTTTATCTTTTTTTTTTTTTTTTTGTTGAAAATTACAAAATTTTCCAGTTGTATAAAATTTTTTTTTTATTAATAATTTTAATTACCTGATAAGCCTTGGGTGACAAATATAAATGTAATTTTAAATAATTTATAACTACGAACGAATTGCGTATAATTTAAAATTTTTTTTAAATGCCTTTAAAACTATATCGTGTTGTGATAAAAATTTCCTTCTTCCCCACCTATTTGAGTTATTAACCGAAATAAAAATTAAATCTCCACATTATTCATTCTCTTAATTTAAATATTACAAAAAAAAAAAAAAAAAATAGAAAAGAACGTGCTTTACATTTGTTACGATTTCTTCTATTGTTTAACGGTTTTGTTTGTTTGTTTGTTTGTTTTCCGTTACAACTTTATTAAAAATTATTTTTTTTCTGATGCCACGAATAAAATAAAAATCATAAGGTCAATAATTTATTTATTAAATTAATCGAAATCGTTATAAAAATATCTATGAAAGACTTATTATTATTATTTTGATAAGAACGCTGATAAGAATCCTTACCGGGTAAATAATCGAACCAATATTTTAATAACTTATTAATTATTTAATTACATATGTTATTTGTTTTATAACAGTATTTTACAAAATTCACGGTATAAAATCTACGAATCGCTATTATTATTATTATTTTTTTTTTAAACAAAAAAACAATAAACAAACAATTTTTTTCCATAGAACAAAAAAAAAAAAAATAAAAAACTGTTACAGAAATTTTTTACGAGAATATTTTTCTATTGTTTAAATAAAAAAATTTTTTGACTCATATAATTAATAATAATTATTCAGTGGCGTATTAATTAATTTATTAAAGAGTAGCAGGATGATTATTTAAATAATTTAGTTTAGGTTTTCTTTCATTGTCAAGGACATAAATAAAAATTTACGTTTTCGTTAAATAAACTGGACTTTATCATAAAAAAAATTAAATTAGTTTTACTAACGATCGTTAAGGTGTTTTCGTTTGTACAATGTTTGTTTTACGAGTCCGACAACCTTTTCCGTTTGTTTGTATAATTAAAAAGTTTCTTTCGATCCCTCGAATTCGAATAAAAAAACTTTGTGTTGCGTACATTTTATATTAATATTAAAATTTTATTCATGGGTTTAACTTGGTACCATACAGAGTCAATCTTTTTTATATCAACCCCGATAATATTATTTATATATATTATTGCATGTTTCGTGTGAAATTTATTTTCTTTAAAAAAAAAAAAAAAAACAAAAAATTTTTTTTGTTTATTTATTTATTATTTATAATATTTATTAATTGTATTTTTCTAAACCGGATCCCCTAAAAAAAAACACTTTTTTCAAACGTCAATTTTTAATTTATTTTTTTTTGCTACCGTTTGTTAGGAATCCCAAAAAAAAAAAAATTTCTTAATCTTTTCATTTTCATTTTCCCCCCCTTCTCCCCTTCCCCCCAGAAATTGTTTTTATGCAAAATTTATTTTATTATCATTTAAACAAACAAAATTTTATTTATTTATTATGCGTGTGTTTGTCTCTTTTGTTATTTAAAACAATTATCGATATTCATTTCAAAATCGATTTATTTTAAATAATATTAATATATAAATAAAAATTATTAATGATGATGATGATGATGATGATGATATTCTCGGGCACGTTTTACGAATTTATCAAATCCTAACAGAAAATTGTTAACGAATTTTTTTTGTCGATAAAGTCATTTTAACTTTAAAAAAAACCAAATTAAAATTATTTTAAAAAAGTTTTTTTTTGTCATGTGACAATATTTTTTTTTTTTATAAACTTTCTTCGTACCAGGTACGGAAAAATACGATTTGGACCGTAACACAAATTTGCAATTATTATTATTATTACAATTTTTTTTTCTCGAGCAAAAAAATTTTTTTTTTTTACTTTTTCCCCCTTCGTTATTATTATTATTACAAATCGCGTGCATGAGATTTCAAATGAAAAAATGATGACAAAAAATTTAAAAATTAGTATTGTTTACCATTATTATTATTATTACTATTATTTAAAACGTTTAATTGTTTAAATTTAAAATAAATAAATAAATAAATAACAAATTAGTCCGACATAATTTGCGATTTACGTCTGAACGTTTATGTAATTTTTGAATTTTTTTTTTTTAATAAAATTTTACTAATTTTATTAAATAAAATAAAAGTTAATTTAATTTTTGCCTGTATCATTAAATAGTTTATTTTAAAAAAAGACGTTTAATTAAAAAAAAAAAAAAAAAACCGGGAAGATGGGGGGGGATTTAATTGGGTTACTAAAAGAAAAACTCCCCCAATTCACAAAACGCCCGAAAAAAAAAAAAAAAAAAAAAACAATGAGGGCAATCAATAAAGGAAATTTTTTTTTATAAACGAATAATAATCGTAGAGCATTCGCGATGTAATTTTGTCAGTTCGTGATAAGTTTTCAACAGATAAAAATTAATTTTTTTGGTTTTACTCTCTCTCTCTCTCTCTCATTTAAAAATCCGAGGAAATTTTTTTTTTTTTTTTTATAAATAAATTTTAGGTGAGTTTTTATTTAAACCTAAAAAAAAAAAAAAATGAGGGAAATATTTATTGTCGTACCTTAAAGGTATTTTTCTTATAACAATGTTTAAAAAATTTTTTTAAATTAAACGAGTGTAAACATTACGTAAGAATTTAAAAAAAACTCATGATATTTCACGCGATAATTTTTTTTAAACAATAAGCTAAACATTTAATTAAAAAAAGATCGTTCAACTTAATATGTTGTTGTTGCAACAACAACAACAACAACAAACAAAATCAAAAAAAAAAAAAAAAAT